GATTGACTTCAAAAGCTTGATGATCATCCTTGTTAGGTGAAAAGGTAATCGAGATGGATAAGTTGAGCTACAACATCCACAGAGCTGGAATCGATGTCAACACTTTCAGAATTAAACCAAGATCAAACAAAGACTGTCTCAGATAGCTCGGAAACAATCGAGTTGAGCAAGTGATGAAAAAAGGGATCGATTCAAAAGTTTAAAACCCACAAGATAGAACCATGTCAGCCAGAAGAACTCGGAGTTGTAAACAGGTGATTGTAAAATTGATTTAGTTGATTACAGGATCATAATTTGATTTGATTGGTTTGATAAATCAATTGTAAGGTTTAATTAATCAACAACCCAATCAACACTTGAAAAAATAAGAAGATTCATAGTCAGTTTTCTTGAACATTAGCATTATAAAAGGTTGAAAAAGTAGAGGGGGAGGTGCCAATTTGATCCAAAGAGTTTGCATATGTCAGCTTAGGAAATGAATTAGTGCTTCGATTGAAGTATCACCTTGAGAAAAAAAGGAAATGATTCAAATGATTTTTTTGCCTTGAAATTGATCAATAAATTGATCCGATGAAAAAATGATTATATCAGATTGATTCATACTTTGGAAGTGAAACACCTCGATCAAATTGTCAAAGGAACTCAATATTTTTGTAAGATCAATAAACTTGATTGATTTGTCTTCTAAATTATCAATTGATTGGATTCCAATCAAGATAAACAAGATAGAAAGAAACAATCGAGTCTTTTTAGTGTTTATTACCATCTTTGATGCAATCATCCAATATATCAAAATATCCAAGTGAAAAGCTTACTTGGAATTAAAGCACAAAGATCAAGGTCAAAAACAACTTGAGGACATATGAAAATCAAACATTCCATCAATATTGTGTTCAAATCGATTGATTTTGAAATTGACTAATCGATGTGATTTGATTTGAAGTTGGTGTTCCATGGAGTGAATGACAAAGTTGGTACTATGTAATCAGATATTATGTAATCAGATGATGAAGGATTGCTGGGTGAGATCTGAGCAGGGAGAAATACAATGAGGATTTAGTAATCTCATGATCGATAGATTTGAAGCAGAGCTCACCTTCTTACTGGATGATGTCGGTCACCTATCACATAGCCACACCTTGCATTTCTATCAGTGTCAATGGATCTCTGTTCTGTTAAATATTAAAAGTTTGACTTGAACATCTGAACACAATCGCTGAGAAGGTCCGATTATCAACATCTTGAGACTGGTCCGTTGATTAAAAGTTAAAAAGAGTAATCAAATTTGATTAGTTTTGGACATGCACCGCGATGATTAGAACTTGGAGAAAGGTACACCAAGAAGAGAATTACTTACAGTCTTTATTTGTTGCTATTTTCCAAGCGATGTGTAGTATTGTGTGTATGGCCCGGCAAGTCGGAAAGTGGATGGTCCCTGAAAGGAATAATGTGAGTTCAACATGCATGTGTAGCTAAATACAAATGCTGATTGGTGCTTCCGGAATATACTGATGCATGAGGACAGCTGATTGTGCTAATTTGTCGTAATTTCGAGTAAATCAGAGGCCAGCCAAAAAGTGGTTAAAGTCGTGTTGCTCAATTAGGATAGTGCCAACTGGCAGAGAATCATTAGCTGATGGAAAATGATTATCGCAAGTTTAAAACTTTGGCAGGCAAAAACTCACAGTTGTCCAGCTGAAAAGTGGAGGTTTTTCCAAGTTTTGTGCTGATTGATAATCCTCCTTTGATGTGAAAATGATGATGAATGATTTGCCAATTAATTGAATTTGTGGATTTGTCAATTTAATTTGATTCTATTGTTCTTGTTTAACTTGAATGTTTAACTTGAATGAATGATGATGAATGTTATGATGAAATGAAATGATTAATGTGTTACCGAGGAACTTACGATTATATTTGAGAGATCGAGTGAAGCTCGCTTGGCCGTAACTTCGGTTGGTTGAAACATCAGTTTGTTCAGCGGAATCAGTGGAGGTTTTGGACAATTTGTCGATTTTGTTCAATTTCGTTGTTCGCCTTTAACTTGAATGAGATGAGATATTAGGGGTTGGGCGATATTTCGACCAACCGGTTTTGCGCCTCTGAGAAGCCTCCCGAAAGGAGTCGAAGATGGCGGAGGACAAGTATTCTGGGTTTCACAGATCTGTTACGGATCTGAGCCCAGAGCCAAGAGTGTTTAGGCGATACCCAGGCAAGCTTTTGCCAGAAGAGATGGGTTAGGGGATATGTGAAAGGTGCAAAAGGGGTGTTTGCATGGCTTGTACTACGAGCCCAGCGGCGCAAATTGCTTTGCCCTGTAAGCCTTTTGAACGGGTGAAGCTTTGGAGTTCTCAAGAAACGCTTCGTACTGGTGTGTATTTTTGCAAAGCAAAAAGATCGATAAAAGTTTCGGTCGGTTAAGGGTGGCTTCAATATTGCTTTCTAGCCATCTCGAAAGCATTCTTAAATCACTGAACTACGACTGAATGGGTTTTGCAAACCGGTTGGTCTAAATTTCGCCCAACCCCTATTGTCGACCTGCCCATACAACAAACTTCCATAACAAGTCTTGACTCAACGGTAGTAACTCCTCTCGTTTCAACTTCTGCTCTTTACCAAAACCTTCCAACTTCCTCATCGCGGAATTGTAACCCTCTAGCGTGCTCTGCGTCCAGCTTCCACATAACAGGTGTGTCTTCACAACACTCTCTTTCCAATCCACCTCACTATTACATCGATTCGCGACAGAAAGGAAGCACACTGGGTTAGTTTTCCGTTGCGTCTGATAAACTGTTTAGGACAGGAAACTAGTAGAGAAGTTGAGTACGAAAACGACACTGCCTTTTCTTTCCTTACTTTTTCACATTACTCAAAAAATTCTTGATCTTTTCTTCCTTTAACAACATTCCCGTAGTGCTCAATCTCGATACAGTAAGTTTTTCAAGTCGGTCGGTACGTCGATCAATACTTCCAGTGGTTTTTCGTTCTCAAATCTCGTCCCCCTGGATAAACTATCTGCTTTATTCTCGCAGAGGTCACCCTTGCGACTGTGATGTCGCAATTCAATCTCGTAAGTTCCTTTAATATTAACCTCCATTCTTCGTTTACTAACTGGTGTTTCGATGCTTCGGTTGTTGTGTTGTCTGTATAAACAATGAAGCGTCTATCGGTTGTGGATATGAGTTTTTCAATCATCAACAGGCCTAATCTAACTGCTACAGTTTCTAACCACGCTATGTCGCGTGTTGGACATCCCCGTGACAGGTCAATTGATCTCCACTCCGTGACTAACTTGAAACATGTCCATCTGTCACTTATTCGTATTCCAATTCCATAGCCTGTACTAGCATCCCCGACCCACTCTATATCTTCCGGAACGATATCGGGTTCGATTCTCCTTCGATCGAACTTTTTGAGGGCTAATAACCAATGTTGAATTTCGGATTGCGCCTCAATAGGCATATCTCTAACAGCACTATGATTAAACCAACTTTTGTCGAACTTGTATAAAGCCCATAAATATGATTTTAAATTTGGTAATATTGATGTCATATGGCTTAATTGTCCTGTTAATTTTTCAATCTCCTTTTTATTACATTTTCTATTTGGAGTGAGTAACTCTTCAATTTTCTTTATCCTTTCTTCTAATTTCTCTTTAGGTAACCTAACTGACCTCTCTTCTCCGTTCCAAATAAAGCCTAAGTACTTTTGCTCAACCACTCAATCGGAGAACTTTTCATCATTAGATTGTACTCCTAAATTTCTCGTTATCTGAAGTATGTTTTCCATCCTTACATCTTCACCTAAAACTTTTATGAATAAACAGTCATCCACCCAATGAAAAATCTCTCTAATATTTAGTAATACTTTCAGAATTTCTTTCCAGGCATCTGCCATCCAACCGAAAGTACCGCACCCTGCTACTCCTCCAAATGCTATACAAGTGTCAATCCAAATATGGTTCTGGAAGTCTTTTATAGTTAGATATTTCCATTGTGAAGGGTGAGTACTACCTTGTCGATATGCTTTCTGCCAGTCAACTATTGCTAACATCAATGTTACTCCTAATAATGTTTTGAAATAACTCTCTACTACTTTGAAATCATCCCATGTTGTTTCGAAGTCTTCTTTACAGACAAATGAATTGACTGAAGGTATTTGTTTTTCCGGGTTTTTGTAATGTAAGTTTCTAATCAATTCTCTTGCCCCATCCGTAAATGTCTCATCTTCATTGTCTGATTCACTTTCTGCCACTTCATCTTCTTTTGATTTCCGTTTCTTCTTCTTTTTCTGTATTTCTCCTTTAGGATAAGATAGATCATTTATCATACGCAGGGAGCCATCATTATTGACCACACTTCCCATCGGGTTTGACCTAAAGAAACCCCACCTTTTATATACTTCATCGTGAGTAAAAGGGCCTAAAATTTTTCCTTGCTTCCTTTCTTTAAATAGATTTTTCATTATTTTGTCCTTAACAGCCAATGCTGACTTATGATTATCTGGTGTAAACCATTTCATTCCTTGTATCACATGTTCTGGTATGCCTTGGTCAAATCCCTCTGTCAGTCCTATCCATGATTTCTCCCATTTATCTGACAAATTGCATTCTTTTAATAATATCCTCCATTCTTCTAACTTCATATCCCACTTAGCTACTTTCGGCCAACACCTTAGCATTTCAGGATCGTTCACTTTGTATAGTTCACTTGTATCCTTTCCGATGGCTTCTGGAGTCAAGGTATTTGGTGTACTTCTTCTCTCTAGATTTTCTCTCGGGGCATCTAGACACAATTCTCTGTTACTAGATGTGTTCAATTAATGAATAGATCAACGGAAAAACATATCATTTCAATTCGTCAGACTTTTCATCTTTACATCATCAAAACATAAAATGGACAAGCTGAACGAGCGATTAAGGAAAAAAAGGGCATAAAATAGAAAAACTAGGACAGATATAGGTTACTAATTCCGAATTTATATCTTTTTTTTTTTTTAACTTACTGATTGTTTTGATTGTTTGAATTTCCTGAGCTACTTCCTTCAGCGTTATTGGAAGCTTCAATTGCTAAACGTTGATAATTTCCTTGTCCTACTGCTGGATTAAAACTACCTTGTCCAATTGCTGGACGGCCTCCATTTCCATGGTGAGAGTTTCCTCTCCCTCTTCCACCTCGATTATTATTAACTCCTCTTCTCACAAATGACTGGTGGTTGTTTTGATGATAATTACCATGTTGGTTATTATAATGACTTGTTGATTGATTTAGATGATTTGGATTATAATGATGTGGATTGTAATAAGGCTGACTTCTTGTTTCTCTAGCCAGTTTCTTCTTCTTGTGATATAAAGGATTGAAATTTCCTCCTAAATATGGTCTAGAATGACGATTGGCGTTATGATTTGGACCATTGCCTGGTAAGTTAGGTGTACCTTGGCCACCCCACACTACTACACCTCTACCTGTTAATATATCTGCATGACTTTCAATAGTTGTCCCGGTCGTGTCCCAGTTTGGGTTGAAGGATCCGTCTAATGGGTTAATGTGCTGTAGCGGACCACCATATACAAATGGATTATCCATATAGCTATATCAGCAGAGTAACACCAAGAGAAACAAACAAAATGGATATTGATCAGGAAATGTTCACATCACTTTTATTTCACTATATGTAAGTTCCTTACTTGTAATCATTATAATTCTTAGCATCTCTTTCTGACTGTTCTGCCAATCTTTTATTCAACTTTCCTACATCAGCCATTGCACCATTAGGCAAACGATTCTCACATATATTCCTTCTATGAGAAACATCATATCTCATCGCCGGGGTCCATTTCCCATCGCAATCAATCTTGATTTGTAAAACGTTTTCTTTATGGGCTACTAGTCTCGGTGCGATTGGTGAGTTCTTTTGACTTTCTAGTTTGTTGTATCTTTCTTGATACTTGACCATTAGATCGAACCTAACTGTCCATTCTGCAAAGCTTAATCTAAACTCGTTTAAAACAGGGAAACCATTATAGATTAAAGTATCAGAGGAGCAACTCGTGGATTTTACTCTTTTCGTTCTCATATAGGAGCTATCTTGAAGTATCCACTTTGGGCAGAAGATCGACACTGGTACGTGCATATTTTTGTTAATCATCAATTTATGAAAGTAATCTGATAAGCTAGTCATATTATGTCTGAGTTCTTCTCCTTCTTCCATACTCGTGTCGAATTCTGATTTAGTCTTTGTACTTTCTTTAGCTTTTTCTGCATTTTCTACCGTAGGTGTCCTTTCTTCTGTAAAATCGATATCGCATAATGACAGATCTCTCATCGGTGTTTTGTTCTTAGTGCACCAGATCTCATATTCTTCTTTCAGTATACGATATTGAGGTATCTTCCCATTTTGAAGTGTCATCTGAATGTTATATAACCATTTCTGATGTGATATCTCGATAATGTCAGGTTCAGGCATATTTTTGACTATTCTACCTAGTAGCATCCAAAATTCAAGACAATAACAAAACAAAACACATCATGTAAGCATTTTTGATCAATCAACATATCTCTGTTTTTTTTAACACTAGCTTGGTAACACTTCTTTCTTTAACACTAGCTGATCACACTTCATTAACACAACTGTTTATAATATCAATTTTCAATTTTCGATTCTTTTTTTTTTTTTAAACACGACATTTAAGTTATAACACTACTGAACATTTTCTTTTTCTTTTCTTTTTTTTTTTTTTGAACAATTGAAACAACGAAGGCATGGAATACCATCATATCTCCAATTGATGCTAGCCATATAGGAAATATA